ATTATTAGTTATCGTTCTAGTGCTCTTGGCACTAGCTAGGGTTTGGCCTTTGGGGTCTTTTCCCTTGTTTGTGGCTGTCGCTTGTATTGTGTTTTTCAGCCCTTTGACCCTTTGGGTCCCCCGGGCTTGATCTCTTACCATTTACCATTTACCATTTATATATCATACTCTTGTCATCAGCCAAAAAATTAAACTTGAAACCAAATATCTTGGATATGATATATACAATGTAGTGTTGATGATGACTTCTTTCAAATTAGGAGACGGTGACTCTTTCCAACTTGAGACTAGTAGCGATGGAGGTGCCCGTTTCAACTTCTGAATCCTAGTAGTTCTTGGGTTTGATTAGAGTATATTGTATGTAGAGAACCCCACGACATTTTTTCTCATTCAGTTGTACCTAATCTCCCAATTATCAGTACTACTTCCAATTTTAACACTTAGAGCGTTGATGTTTAACACGTAGATTTTATAATGTGTTCCTATTAACCAACACACTTAATTTACACATTAATTTCTTATCTAACAAACACATCTATTGCTCACATACTGCTATTAATTGTCACGCAAGTGACATCTATACGCAATGGTGATTCTCTCCAAATTTGAAGTCACTGGTAATGTTTTATATAGAGAATTTTGAGACATTATTCTTCACTCTAATCAACACCAATTTTATCTATTTTTCCAATTATCATAACTACTTCTGGTTTTGTCACTTTTAGGAATTATTTTGTGTTTTGCATAAGGAATATACTCAATTTTGATCTATTTTGATTTTCCTTTGAGTTATCCCCTCAATCTATTCTATTGTTCTATCATAGAGTTGCTATCGCAACAATTTGAAAAAAACGAGCTATACGTTTTGTGCTTAAAAATCTGAGGTTTTCATTTTTTGTGATCATCCCAAGAATCACAACGCACAAATTTGCTACTTCATTTGAATCTGAACTTTCAAACATATCAAATTCAAAATGATGACGCTTTGAACATCTAGATGCAGAACATACTTATCATGCTGCAACTACAACAAGAGAATGCCATCCAACAAAATGTCATCAAACAATTCTAAGTTGATTCTAGTACTCTATGTAATATGTAATGACATACTAATCTTGGCGAAGAGTCAATACGATGTTGATAAATGCAAGAACGAGTTGATGTTTACATTTAAGATGAAGGATTTAGCGAAGTCAAAGAGTATATTATGGATATATATACATAGTAATTTGAAAAAAAAAAAATTAGGGTTGAGTCAGAAAAAGTATATGTATATTGCAAATCAATGTATACTTGACACGTTCAACATGGCAATTTTTAAAAAATATGAACTCTTTTGTCAAGCACATTTCAAATTTTTTGCAGTTCAATTTCCTACTGATGCCTTTGAGATTGGAAGAATGTCATGTATTTTATATGAACAAGCTGTGAGTAGACTCATCTATTTTCACACCATCAAATAGATGATGTGAATTAGGCCTAATATTACCCTAGCAATGGGTAGGGTGAGCATGTAGATGTTAAATATAGGGAATATACACTAGAAGAAGTGAAATGAATTTTTAAGTATTTGAAGAGTACTAAGTATTAAAGCTTATTGTTTAATGGTTTATTAGACAATGCTAAATCCTTGTTAGATTATGTTTATGCTGACTATATACAAGATCTGAAACATTAAAAATGTACAACAATGTATGTGTTTACATTTGATGGTGGAAATATTAGTTGAAGATTATTTATTGCAAAAGTGCGTATCTCAGTATTCAATAAAAGTTGAGTGTATGAGGATTGTAGAAGCAAAAAAAAAATCAATTTGGTTGGACATTGTTATCATAGAGATGAGATTGAAACCGTATGTGATCTACATTCATTGTGATAATCAGAGTGCTATACATATATCTGGATGCGAATCAATTGATGGATAACATATTGAAGCACATTGACATCTGGTATCACTTTCTCAGATATACAATTTTTGATAAAAATATTGAACAAATCAAGATAAACGTTTGACTCAATCTAATTGATCAAAGTAATTTTTTTTGGAAAGTTTCAAGTGACATTGTAATATTATGCAGGTTTTGCATGATGAGTTTGCTAGCAATTTTCAGTTAATTCTTTATATTATTACTCTATGATGTTATACTTAGTTCTAGTTATAAAGAGTAGACTTTTGTTAGATTTTGCTAAAAAACTTCACGCGGAATAAATATATAACCTATAGAGGTGATTTTTTCTCTTAACATGAGTTAAGAGGAAAATTGTTGAGATTGACTCACATTTTAAGTTAAACCTAGATAGTTTGTTATTCTTAGACAACCTAAATCAAACAAGCTAATATATTATTATTCTAATATATTAAGATTGATTATAATATTTTTGCCCTTTTTGTTTCCGAACGTAAATGTATGTGAAGTTAAAGCAGTGTTTGCTGCGACCTGAATATCGTTGTACAGATAGTGTAGATGGTGGAATGATGAGATGGATGAGAGATGGTGGATCTAGAATGAGCATGATAGGATGAATCCTTCTACGTCAAGGCTCCTGCTCTATGTGGCAATCGTGTCCATGTAGCAATTGAGTGGGTTAATTTAGGACTGAACTGAATGAACTGGCTGAACCGATCGGTGTTAAAGTTCTTCTACACCCCTAAAACGAGTTGAAGTTGAAAAAACACGAAGAGTAAGTAGTATCTCATAAGACAAACAGTTCATAATTCTGGGTAGGATAGGAAACAATGTACTGACTGAAGGCAATTAAGTCGCTACTTGACTCCCTGTTAAGTTTCAAGCTTTACTTAACCCTCCTCCCGGGCATGATACTGGACTTGTAGAGGAGGTATCGGCTGAGATGTTAGTCAAGTTGAAATTATGATCTTGATTTGAATGCACTCTAACTCTCCAATTTCTTATTGTATTGTCCCTAGTAAGCTAATATTTCTTATTCTTCTTGTTGTTTACCTTGGGGTATATAAATCCCCTAGCTTTACTTTAGTATAATCATTATACATCGCAAGTTTTTCTTTGCCCGTGAACATAGCCCTGCAAGTTCTTCTTTGCCCGTGGACATAGTACTGTTCGTTGCTTCTCATGTGTTGATATTGGCAAATTCTGTTTTTCCACTGTCTACTATTGCTGCTCATCGGATAAAACTCGGCAAAATATTCATATGATGCAATACTTGTAAGTTATGTTTGAACTAATAATTACACATGATTTCATGATCTACATAATGATTTCACTTGTTAGTTAGTATATTGAAAATTCATAACTAGCCACTTTTATTTTAAAAAAAAATTAAATTTTTTTTTGAATTTCAAATGACATATCATTAAATTATTGTACGAATTGATTATACAAGTAATGCTAAAAAATCTTTGAAGAAACTATCTGAAAATTGATAAAATAAAAATTTTTATATTCAAATTTTGTAACATGTTTTTATGATACCAAAAAAATCATATGAATAGTAAAAGTGTATTTTAGATTGCAATCATTATGTTTAAGTAGATGTATTACATTTATAAATTCAGATAGTCCGTACATATCTCTTTGGTAAAAAATTAATTTTTTATCAAAGTGAAAAATGAAAATACTTATTTTATCACTTATTTTTTCTATGAAATACTTTGCAACATATATCAAATTAATTTTATATAAATTGTAGAGAAAAATTCAAACTTTTTACCACATCATAGATTGAACAATTTTAAGTATACTTTGGCTGATTACTTATGTTAAAAGTGCTAACACTTTGTAAACTATACATCATCATAAAATGTTAAAAAAAATGATTTAGATCAACAAAAATTTCCATACCTGTGTCCTTGGACGGTGATTTCCGACTATCAGAATTTTAGATTTGGGTTGTCTAAAATTCCACCTAATGATGATTACATCTTTTGAAATACAGCGTAACCAGCAGAGAAGGATTCTGATATCGTAAGTGGGAAAATCGATTATTAGATACATTATTAGCTTTGTCTATCTCCACCCGTGACAGGACAAATGCGGGTTTCAGATGGATACGAGCACATTAGCGCGTGATCCAGCACCACAGCAATCCTTCCCTCTGTTGCTGCATACCAAAGTCTCATCGAACAAATTGGACTTCCTTGCACAGTCAAGGTTTACGGAGTAAGCCACGTCACCGCACAAAGTTTCATACTGTGGTGTACTACCGAAAGATATCCCTCGATTCAGTGTGTCAGTGCCCGTTCGTAGAGCTTCTCTGGTAAAGCTTCCGGTAAAGTCTTAACAGACGGTGGTATAAGTAGAAACACGTCCTGACTAGACCTCTGGAGTGTTTAGTTACTTCGAAAGCTATGCACTTTCTGATCGCAGTTGAAGCGCTAATCGCTTTGTCCAAACAAGAAGCACGAATTTGTCGCTCCTGCATCTTTATGTTTCCTCTAAAACTAGGAAATCCAGGACTCTCTCCAATTCCTTCGCCATTCTAGCGTTACTGGCACTATGAACACCGTCCCTAAACCTTGCAGTCACGATAAACAGCGGTTTGTCTTGGAAATTGGAGAGTTAGAGTGCATTCAAATCAAGATCATAATTTCAACTTGACTAACATCTCAGCCGATACCTCCTCTACAAGTCCAGTATCATGCCCGGGAGGAGGGTTAAGTAAAGCTTGAAACTTAACAGGGAGTCAAGTAGCGACTTAATTGCCTTCAGTCAGTACATTGTTTCCTATCCTACCCAGAATTATGAACTGTTTGTCTTATGAGATACTACTTACTCTTCGTGTTTTTTCAACTTCAACTCGTTTTAGGGGTGTAGAAGAACTTTAACACCGATCGGTTCAGCCAGTTCATTCAGTTCAGTCCTAAATTAACCCACTCAATTGCTACATGGACACGATTGCCACATAGAGCAGGAGCCTTGACGTAGAAGGATTCATCCTATCATGCTCATTCTAGATCCACCATCTCTCATCCATCTCATCATTCCACCATCTACACTATCTGATATCTGTACAACGATATTCAGGTCGCAGCAAACACTGCTTTAACTTCACATACATTTACGTTCGGAAACAAAAAGGGCAAAAATATTTTACAATTCCCTTCCAAGGGTGTCTCAGTTGACACGGAAGTTCCCATGTTCATCCCAAGGCCTCGTGGAAAATGACTTTCCTACCATACTTCGCTGCTTGCTGACTGTATCATCTTCCGTTCTATACTCCGGGAAGTAATCTAAAAAGCTTTTCGTCCCGAGAGTTTTCAGCCCGTGAAATAGATAATCTTCGATGTATCTCTGAATAGTTCAGACAAAAGTAAATCAGAAAGCTTCTATTTGATCTGGGAAGGACGTGTTAAGGCCGAATACTTCAAAATACTGCAGAGCAAATGTGATATGAGGACTTGGCCTTCGCTCTGAACATTGAAAAGTATGTGACGAGAATTACCTCTGATAACTCTTCCCCATAAAGCCTTGTCAGGAGCGGCCTTCCTGGATCCTGTAAACAAGCGGATCCGAACACAACATCGTTATGATCTCCGTTATAGAATCTCGTTAAGACTCAGAAGGAATAAAATTATGTTCTTACTTACAGTGTTCTTATGATTGCTAGACACGTATTCAGGACTGGTTGGATTTTGAAGAGCTTATGCACTTCTTTCAAATAGCCAGCATACATACAAGGTCAAATACTAAGCACTCATTATAACCACTTTTAATACTTTCTACCAGTCTTCTTCTCTCCGGTGTCCCTTGCATTAATTACTGAATACATTCACCATTTTCATTTATCATAGTTAGTACTCTATCAAGACGTCACCTTACAAAATCAACAAACAGACGACGCTCACACTGAGCTAAAAGAGTATCTTAAGTTACTGAGCCTGAGACAACACGAGAAGGGGGTGCTGATTACTGCTGAACCAAGCCGGACTCTTAGCAAGTAGTTTGGCACACTTTCTATAAGGGTGAATTGCAGTTAGAATGTTCATACAAAACATGAGATCTAGAAGCTCGTTTCACACAGTCGAATAGCTAACCTTGGTAGCGCGCCAGGTAAGGTAACGATGTTGAGCTTCCTGGTTTCTTGCAATTTCCAGAGGATCAACGGTTGGTTGGGCTTTATCCAGTATGAGCAGCCAGGCCTGCAAAGGAAGCACAATCCTGTAAGACTTGAAAGCTTCAAAAGCGTAGATTGAAGCTGCTCCAAATGACCGTGTTCGCGATTTCAACACACATCACAACGTGATATCTAAAATCCAGTGCTTCCGGCTCTAACAGCAAAATTCTAGACATTTCCTCATATGCAGAATGATAATCTGCTAAATGCCACAGTAGCAGATTAGGAGTCAATTACCAGAAGATAATCCTTGAAAGCTGGATACAAGGTTTTGCTAAGGTCTTGGCCTTGAGCTTTTGTCCAGAGAACAAGTGGAGAAAAGAACTGTAACGACTCCGTGGTCAGTCTATCGCCCCAGGGAAGCACCTGCGAACGCACGTGAGGCAAACATGATCGCACGAAATTAGCAGGCATCGGATGTAATCATGACTTTTGAACTGCAGACCGTTGGAAATGCATGATGAGAAACGTTACCTCTGCGTGTTTGTTGACGAGAGGCATCAGCTCATCGTAGTATCGTTGCTTGTAAGATATGTCAATACTCGTGCTGAATAGCGGGTTGAGGTCTCTGAACAGTAAGGCAGAAATAGTTGCTTCCCAAGTATAAGCATTATAAACAATTTCCACGAGGTACAACTAGCACCAGGTCCACGTTTTGAATTTCAATGGAAAAGAAATAAAGTTTGAAGTTCCATTCAGTTGAATACAGCACTTCAAACAGAAGTGAGATTTGGTTATGTGACGCTTACAAAACGATGATGTTTCTGCTCGCTGTGGAGAAGAAATCGGCACAAAATATTGGCACGTCATACTCTGGTCTTGGCAAGCCTGCTACATTTAGCACCTATGAGCGGACAACCATTCAGTTCCTCTCCTCAGAATGCCAGCAATACTTCTACTCGAGCTATTGCCTGCAAGATTTTCTAGGAGCTGCATCTCAGATACATGCATTATAAGATATCCTTACATGTCCATCTTCTGTCCACACACATCAAATAAACCTTTGGGTTCTTTGGAAGACTTTCCAATGGCTGTAGTCATAATGATTCTCCTATTGAGTTGCTTCATGAAATGGAGAGCAGGAGACTCCAGTACGCCTCTAACAACATGCCACCAAAACATAATCACAAATGGTCCCATTGTGCTCAGATAAAGCTCTGACTAACTTGAAAAATCCTTTCAATCAACCACGACATTAAACCCACCTGCATTGAAGGGCCAGCATTTATGTAAGTGCTCCTGAAAAATCGCATCTTTGAAGACGCAAACGCTTTGTTTAAAACAGTTGTTGTACCATCTTTGGCAACCATGTTCCGAAATTCCTCCTGATCAATAAGACCTGAAGCGGATTATAACTCATGAAATCTGTCGGAAATTACCATCATAACCATCGAAGGTGGATCTCATACCAGCTCTTCCTGTAGTTTGTTTGGCTGATAAAAACTGTGACTGTAGCAACCCACAGTCTTAAATTTCTGAGAACAAACCTTTAAAAGCAAAGCGGACACATCGGGACGACTTCCAACTTCGCGGACTGCAAAATTGAAGAAAGGACGATATATGTTCCCTTCAGACTCGGAATCCTCAACTTGTTCAGGTCCGAGAAAGTCCCCTTCACCTTCCCCGGCCCCTGCGACTGCAGCACACGATCTCACAACAAGAAGTTCTGCTGCACAATTGCGCACATTCATCCGGCTCATCCTTGGACCACAATCTCCATACATGTGAGTTTGCTCGCATGTTCTTGGGAAAGAAACGCTGCTCGAGCAACAATTCTCTCGTTCCACGGAACGGACAGGCCCCGAATTCCAATGTGTCGGAGAAGAACCTACTTTCGACCAGTGATGACTGGCACCCGACGAGCTGCGACTCCAAACGCGGCCCGATTCACAACAACCCACGCTTTGACGCCCAAAGAGCAGCGCCCTCGATGGGGTATTTCTGGAACGCAGTCGTCCAGATTTTAGCGTCTTACGATTGTCATGCCCGCGGCCGACCACCTCAAGAACACGAAATTCACGAGCGACAGTGAGAGTGCTCATTTTCGCCGCGCGACAGTTCAAAGCGCCACCGCGCCAGACTCAAGTTCAACTCCAACCTTGTCTGCACATGCTCCACGAACTCTCGTCAACACATCGGCTCCGAAATCTTCGAAGCTCGCCGTCAACATCGTCGCTGTCAGTGGCGAGGGAAGCATGACGCCACTCGCACACGGTCACTCATCGCGCAAATTATTAGATTCGCTACCTACGCCGTGCAACTTCCTTCGATCACAAATTATTCACAACTCAGACCGAAATGTAGCGATAAAGGCGAAAGGTAGACGGCGAAATTTGCCATGTGCGCCTACAGGCGGAGCGGTGGGTGCGTACACTCTTTCGAATGAACGGTGGCCCCACGGGCGACAGGGATTCCTATGGCCCACAGATCGGCTGAGTTGGAGTTTTGTTCCGACGTTTGAAAAACGAGACAATCTCCAGTTTTACGTAGATGAGAATCAGTGGTACAAAGGCTTACCAAAAGAGAAGAACAAATTGGCGAGAAAAGCTCGAAGGGTGACACTAAAGATTACCAAGGTGGCCAAATGTCGATAAGGAACCAACACCACAGCTCGCTATACACCAATATAATTTCATAGCAAATACAATGTGTGATCATAAGAATATATCCATGTTGATAAATGTTTAATTTTATACTTGTCAATATAATGTCATAGCTACATGTGCGCGTAAGGAAGAACAAGGAAAAATGTTACCAACTTTTGTGAGAGAAGGGATGTTAGTTCAATCTCTTCTTTTCGTGTGGTGAACTTGCAAGAGATTTCATTTCGTCTTGCATCTATATCGCAATGATTAACAGAACTTGTTGACATTGCGATGGGTATCAATTTCTTACAACAAGAAACTTATTCTCAAGCTTGCCACAACATTTATAGTTTTTTTGGAACTTCCTTGCAAATTGGTTTGAATAAATTTTTTCTGAAAATCTTCCTTCAACAAAAAAAATCTCAATCAGTAATTTTAACAGCAATATGGAAACTTCAAAAACATACTCAAATGAAAGAAAGTTAGTTTTTTTTTGAAAAGAATATTGATCATTGATTGTTGAATTATTCTTTTTTTCATATCTTTAAAATCTAAATCTACAAATTGTTCAACATATATTAAATTATTTATACTCAATTTGTATGAAAATTAGATAATTTAATAAAAATTAGAAGTTACTTCTAAGATATAATTTTTAAATGTTTCTATCATTGAAGATATTTTTATTGAAAAATTTATAAATTGTATGAATTAACAAAACTTTCACGTCTTTCACATATCTGAAAATTTCATGACATTGAATCATAAAATATAAGATCAAGATAAGTTTTTCATACAATATTTTTGAAATCTAAAATATGTGTACGTAAGAATAGCTTCAATTGTTAATTTCATAGTTGCATAGATTGTTATAGATGAAGTTAGAATCAAAAGTGTTTAAAGAAACTATCAAAATTGAACATTGAAAATTCGGAAAATGCAATTATGTCAATTTACAGTAGATTTAATAATATGAAATTTAACATGGAGAAGAGATAATATAAGAACACAAAAACTCCAACTATGTTATTTCTGTTACTCTTTACAATCTAATCAAATTTATGAACAAACGAACCTGAGTGATTAAGTTTGCTAGCACAATTTGTAGATACATTCACCACCCACCATTGAAGTTACTATGGAGCCTCTTTCACATGAATTATGATATCAGAAGTTATAAAATATCATCATGTATTATGATAATTTCATAAATCAACAGCAAAATGTACGATTATAATGAAGATACAGATAACACTATGCATAAATAACGCAATGATGGTAAGATAGTAATGGAAAAATGTACCATCATCACATGCAATGAATAAAGTTTACACATATGATTCTTGTCTACTTGTTTTTAAGTCTAGTTTCAAAACTACATGAACTACAGCAATCTATCTCATTTACGTGTTTAAAAATCTAAATAATTCGAAGTTTAGTTCCAGTTCATCACTAGATGATTCGTAGATCTTGAAAAAGAATGATGCATGAGTAAAATTTTATATATATATATATATATATATATATATAATATCAAAACATAATGACTATTATGTATATGCCTAGCAAAAGTTTAACCAAAATTGTGAAGATTTGAAACTTTCTTGCACTTCACATTAATATTATGATGTTTGTAGACTACACTTCCTAAACCAACTTTGAATTTACTAGATCTCTTATTTATCACACTAATTTTCATTCATTGAGATTTTTCACATTTATATGTCGAGCTTGAAAAAGATCTCAACGAAGTAAAGACTGGGCTGAGCTACGGAGCTGCAGAGCACTAACCCCACGATATACAATCTGGCAATTGGCTCTCTTCAGTATCTATGACGACACAACTTTAGTCCATGTTAAACGACTGTTCCTTCAATTATCATGGCGTCAAAATGCTTTGCCCTATCCAAGCCCCATAAAAACAACTCAGAAAATCGGCTTCGATTCCGAAGTGATCATACATTCCCATACAATTTCCTCTATGGGCAGCTCCATGTCCATAAAAAATCGCATACTAACGTGCTGAGAGTATACACACCTAAAAGCAGCAATGCAGCTGTGGCAACATCTCTCATGAAATGACAACATGTCACACTTGTACACTGTTTACGTCGGTTGAGCTCGTATGATCTCAGTGTTAACCAACTTTTATACATGCAGGCCAGGGTACAAATCATTTACAACCATTTGATCGACTAGCTTGGATCAGCAGGATGGATCACTATAAGGTCTCAAAACGCTTGTATCAGACGCGTCAGAAAGACGAATTGCAGCTATTTCAGCACTACCACATGACAGAATGTCAAACGGAAGCGTCGTTCATCAACAATACCAGACGGTGAAGCACTTACACCTCTGAAGACCTGTAAAATGTAGAAAGATCAACTACCTGGAAGCAGAGGAAAATTATCCATCCGCTCAATCTGCCCGAGATCCATCCTTGTTGGTTTTCTTGTAAGGGGGCAGGTAAGGGGAAATAATGACGAAGGCCATGAAAAGAGTCACCTGTAATAAATTTGCCCCGAACTCATCAAAACTAGATCATAAACAAAACACATATTTACTCATCATTCAAGGGTGAGTACTTAAAATATATATGGAGAGTTTTGAAACAGGACGTTAAAAACACGAAATATATGTAGTTACTTGGAAGCTTACCAACAATGGAATGGTCAAGAAACCCCAGACAGGCCATAGGGCGAAGATAAACCTGCATCCAGGAACCTCTATGAGCGACTGTACGACATGCCTTGCATTTACAATGACGGGTGCTACTTGAATCAGGTGTATATGTATGTATGAAGACTTTCAATTTTAGAGTAGCTGTCAAAGTTTAGAGGCTAATGGCGGTTTGAGGGTTACTTACATCAAGAACGCAGCTACGCCCAGTATTGTCGCTGTAGGAATGGCTCCCGGAGCAATTTCTTCCCAATCGTCATCCTTTTTCTTTACATGACGTAGCCACACAGCTAAATAGAAGAATATTAGTGTGTTGATGCCTACACATATCAACCCCACAAAGAAGGGTCTCCTGCAAAAACAGATCGCAGAGGGTAAACTTATGTATAGCTCAAGCCTTCTCACACATATTCGTGTTTCACAGCCTTCGTAAACATACCCCGACAACGTAATCTCTGCCAAATGTATAGCCCGATGTACCTAGCCATCAAATGTTCGGGCAGTCGGGCATCTCTGAGGATGTGTGAGATAGCAAATAAGGAAAACCTCACTTCTTCACAGAATGAAACGATATAAACTGAAATTTGGGGCAATGGAACAATTCTTCTTCACCAACACTTCAGACAGGGAAACAAATGTCCCATGGAATCACGACAGTCTGTACTGAGTCAGCATCAGTTATGTGGTAGATACTGGACATCTCCTAGAAGAAACAACATGCAAGTGTGTCTCCTCTAGATTAGTGTTAAATTACGAGTTTGCATGTAGGTGTGAATACCAGGTACCCAACACATGCGGCCATGCTATACTGTAAGAGAATGATGGACTACACGACCAGTACGCTGAGTAGGAAGGTAAGGACCTCCGTAATTGGAAGAACCGCATGGAGATGTGATGCAGAAAACGGGGAAGAAGCTGGTACATGTACCCGAAGAACATACCTCTTATAGCCTGAATACCATAGACCCTCTACCTGTTTCTGCGGTGCTACTTTGAAGAGGCAAGGCACTCGGTGAAGACGGGTGAGAACTGGAAGGAAAACTAGAGAAACTACTTGAGAGAAAGCTGCTGTCTTGTCTTGGTATAGATGTCATGTATGAGATCAGCTTTTAGTATACAAGTATCGACCAAGAAATCCTTTTTAACAAAAGTTACAAAAGCCCCAAATGGTTTATATGATACAAGACTATGGCTTCTATATGATTTAGACGAAAGCTGGTGAATCTGATGTCTGACTGAATGCACGAGAACGAACTGGAACCCAATAGTTGAAAAGGAGCAGAATTCCTGGCGATTTCAGAACAAGAGGATTCAACTCGCTGTCATATAACGAGTAGAAAAGCCAATATTGGCAGGACTGCAAGAAAAATCACCAACTGCTGCAATCACGTCTACAAGTATCCTACTGCTGCTACGTGTTTCAACTCATCTCATAATACATACTATATAACTACTAAATTTCAAGCTTGTGGGATTATGAAACATCTTCATCGCAGTGCTTACTCACGATGAAGTGTCCAAACGTACTTTGCGGCTTCCGGCATGAACCCTAAGTAAATATTCTCAACTCAGCAACAGACATGAAAACTTGCATTCAATCTAAGTCACTCAACTGCAATGAAGCAATGTGCGCTGTCAACTGCGGGAGCTGAAGCCATCCGCAATAAAGAGATGCCGAACTGGAGGCGAATACTCATCACACACAAGACCCTCCAATTCGCAACTCTAGACGAAAAAAAGCCCCCTTCCATTTGCTTTCTCCATCGATCAAACGAAAGTTGTTGGCCGACAGTAAGAACAAAGTCAAATGAACGATCATAGAGAGCGCTGCTTGAAATACCAACCTGACTATTCGTGGATTGGAGGTGAGCACTGTGAAGAAGTTGGAGTGCGAGTCTCCGTAATACAGGATATACGATGCGGCAGACAACCAAAGGGAATTCTCCACTACACGCCTCCATTTCGGAGGCGGGGCAACTGCTCGCGGTTGGAGATCATCGATGTTTATTTCACCTCCATATTCGAGCCCATGGCGGTTCCTCCTCCGCACATCCATAGCTCCCTCACAGTCCAGAAAATGACCAAATGAGCTGCAATGCGATGTGAACTCTAAGTGTGAAAACCCCCGGAATGTGTGAGCAGGAAGGCCCTTCGTCTTCGATTCTTGCTCACGTACTGAGCTCCGGACGCTATTCAAGAGACCCCACTAAATGCCACAATAGATCGGTCGGTAGCCAGCGCCGAAAGAGAGTTCGAATTTCAATTTTCGAAGTAAACCTCATTTCAGGTTTGACAATGGTGTGAATTCAAGGGGTTCACATGAAGGAGTCGATGAAATTCCAGACTTCAAAGACGGGCATATCAGAAACGTGTATTTGCGGCAGTTTGCCTTCTATGTACCATCAATGAAGGACGTGAAGTCCTTGCTTCCGTCAGTGGCAGTAGTTTCGTTCTCTCGTCCTCTCGAATGATGGCATCGACGCCACTTAATTGACTGTTCTTAATTTCTACTCTGAATCGGTTCTCGATTCCTCTCACGTTGCAATTGCTAACTTGTTCAAGGCGATGTTGGCATAGTGCTCCTGGGTCCTGTTCGCACCCACAACCTCGGTATGGGTCATTTTCCTTGAGAGAAATTCTGATCTATTCAGTCTAGAATACTAGGGGAGAGTATCAAGAGTCCCACGGCTAACTTCGCTTTACTCCTGCCTCATGAGAAGACGTGAGGATCGCTTTGACGTAAGCAGGATACACCCAGCATGTGGGAATTACTCCCTATTGCCACTCTCTGCCGGTACGATGTTTTATATTGAGCGTCTTTTGTACTTTCCATCTTGCATCGACGTTTTTTACGCGATCACCAAAGATTTGATATTGAATCCAGGAACGATAGTTATGAAGACCGTGATAAAAGTAGTGCGGCGAGGAAGTAAACCTTCACAAATTGCGGTGGGGTTAAAAAATGAGTCATTTTTTTGACGATCAGGTATTTTTCCTACTTTTCGCTTGAGTTGAAAATAACAATCTTCCCTCGGTATTGATAACAAAGGAGTAGATGTCAGACCTCGTAAAGAGACTTCCTCCTCCAGGGATAAATGGTTGGTGGAAAATGGTAACACGAAAGGAAAGGCATTACCCTACAAATAAGAGGCACTTCCTGACCAATTTTATACCTGCCGCACACTGACTGCTTCGAAAAGTTTAGCCCAGGAGCACGCTGGCATTCTCCACTAAGAATGTCTATACTGCAGCCCTCCTCTTTGGAGCGATTTCTGCTAAAAAGATGGCCAGAGAAACAACGACATCTCCGACGGTCAAGAGCGTAAAGCTTGGGATGTTGGTGGGACATTAGCCGTCAAATTCAGTAGATGGTTGCAACATTTTCGATGAACCGTGCCAAAGACCTGCGTATTCCAAAAGTTGCTGATAGTCAGTGAGACCAGGAGCTTGAAGGCTGAGAAACTCACGTGCCCATATAATTGCATAAATGAGAGAATTTGACCACAAGACAAATACGAGACACTCTGTCGCCTGTCGTCTGTTCATGTATATCTTTGTTCTGAAAGTTCGGTATACTGTCAAAAACATGTTTGAATACCTCTGACTGGGTGTATTTGCATCCAAGTTTGAAAGCAATTTAGGGAGGAGCTAACCTGATAAGAATGCTGCAGAACCTTCGAAGCCTTGATGCTTTGCTTCCACTCTCACTTCTCACATGAAAGGTCACAGAACAAAGCTGGACCACATTTGAAGGCATTTTTCAGGTTCAGGCTTTAAGATGTGAAACTAGCAAGACTTGGGTCAGAAGAGATGATCATGCACACATAATTCAACCTTGCCTACAAGATAACGGAGGGAAATTCTTAAGATTATCGAATATCTACATACATTTCAATACCAAAATGGGTCTTGAGGGCGAGACGGCTGTTTAGGCGCCTGCGTGTAGAATGACACGTAAGGACCCCAAATGCAGGAACATGCTTGCACAGAAAGTGTACTGCATCTTTTGATCCAGAAGGCTTGCAAGCTAACTCCGTTGCTGAGCTGATAGCTATGTTTCCTTCGCATCTGCTTCTTTCATTTCTTTTATAATTCGAGCTCGCTCCGCTGCCTACAAGAAAGCAGGCAAGCCAGAAATTAGATAATTCCAAACAAAGATTCTATCAAGCTATGAACACTCCTGTACAAGAGAACAAGCGTTCAAAACAGAAGTCAACCAGTGGTTTTCTCAAAAAATTCTCTCCAGTCGATTTGTCAGTGAAGGATGCCGAGATGATGTGAATCATATCCAAAGACAAAATCGCTCCCTCGTGCCAATCAAAGGAAACCCCAACATCGAAAACTTAGAGATATCTGCCCTAAACAGCTAAGCAACTCACCTGTCTCATTTTAGTCAGAATCTCGTTCTCGAAAGAATGATAACCTGATCCAACAGTGCTGCTGCCTTTAGCTTGTGTAGGGGCTGGCTGAGCTAACACTGGCTCAGTGAAAGGTCCTCTAATAGGCACTGCAGGCACAACTAGCAACGGGTTCGAGAGATCCCCACATTGCATGCAAGTCGCTGCAATAGCAGCTGCCTTAGAGCCCATTACCACTAACGCAGAACCTTTCTTCTTCGATTTACTTTGACGAATCACAACATCCTCTACATCCCCAAATTCTTTGAAAATCTCTATCAATCTAGAAGCTGTGTAACCCCCGCCGCCTCCTGCTTCACAGGACCAAGAAGCCTTCAGAGTCTTTTCCATTTCCAAAGTCTGAGCAGGTGTAGAGGCCGCAGCCTGAGGTCGTGCTGATTCTTCCTTTTGATATGTTCCATTTGATTGCGCGCCGAAAGTGAAATCAAAACCACCCGGAGTAGGCTTCTTAGAACGCATAGCACGGATACGGGCAATTTCGGCTTTGAGTCGTTTCGATGCTTCTTCCTCCTCTCGTTTTTCATTCCTCTGCATTTCAAACGCTCGTTCACGATCTCGTAAATCCTGCATCATCTTTTGACGTTTATGACTCAGCTGTCTCTCTTTCTCAACGCGACTTTTCCGCAGCTTCCATAGCTCGTCGTAAGCCTTCCTGGCTTTCTCATCACCCAATACTTCGTACGCTTTTTGCAATTTGTCGAACTCAAGGGCTGTAATAGACCAAAAACACATGCTGGTCTCAGAAGTTTTCGACGATGGTAACCAAACCAACGCCGGGTCAAAAAACAACCTACTACATGCTTTATGTAAAGGGCAGTATACAGGGCCAAAGCAAATATAATTGAATGTAAATTTCTCTGAGAACAATCATGACGTACCCGCTGCAGGAGCATCCTTGCGGCGCTTGTCCGGGTGGCAAAGAAGAGCACGAGAGCGATAAGACTTTCGAACTTCAAGCTGCGAAACCTCAGGACCTCCAGACTCTATACCTAAAACCAAGTATAAGTCCTCCTCTTCCATCGTGAAACTAGAATTGACCTCTTCAACTCCCCAACAGGATAAATTGCCCCAGCTCTAGCGTAGGTGTTGACTGTATTTCAGACTTCCCGCAAATTTCTCCTTCTTGGTATATCTTCAAGAAACAATTCCAATATCAATGTCAGTCAGAAAAAGCGAATCAAGCCTTCTCTTCAAATCGACCTGGTAGTGAGTCAGGGGCAAGGATAATCAACCACTCCACATGGCTGAGATACAGGACTCAGAGAGCTTGCGAAGAGCTCGCTCTTGCAAAATGCCAGCCTCCGCTGAGCACCTGCGGAGCGGTAGAATACTGCACTGAGCACATCAAAAGCTGTCGAAACACTGGAAGCAATTCCAAACTTCACGCAGCTAGCTCTCTGAAAAGCCACCTGTGATGCAAGTGATGAACTCCAAAGATCGTTCTGTCTACTTACGGCAGAGCGCTCTAAGCGGAATTGGTCGTGTACAATCCTGCAAGCCCGGAGGAACTGTCGAGCCTGGGCGGCATGAATGTGCGCGTCGATGAAATTTGAAAGAACCGATACTCTAATGTTCGAATCGTAACATTCGAAACTTTAAATTACTGATTTCATTCTTATCAAATACGCTAGCCGCGCGAACTGATATCACGACCTCGTTGCGAGGTGGAGTGATCAGGAATGAAAGAATGAAGTCTTCCACGTGTGCCATCATTCCATCCAACTGCATTTCTCTGGGTGGCAGACAATTCTCGATACCGTAAGTGCAGGGTAGAGAACGTGTTCACCTGTGCTCGGATCTAAAGGTACAAAGTAAATTAATGTAAATGTTCGGAAGATCCGTGTAAATATATATTCTAATGACAACTGAGGTTAACCTAAATAAAAAATTTATAAGAAATTTAAGTATGATTGATGTGATTGACAGTAATAAATTACAATTCTCTAAATGTTGTCATGTAGGTTATTATCTTACATATAAAGACGAAATGCAATTTATATTTTTTTAATATTTAAAATATACCGAGGATTGGAATAAAATAAACTTAGGACAATAAAAAATTTCGCTATTTTATTATGATATCAACAATTATCTTCCACATTGTGAGATTATAAGATTGACGTTTTGATTATTCTAGTGATAAAAAATTGCAATATCCATGATGTCCAAGTATATACTGTATTTGAACATAAATTTTATAGAGCGATCATGACTTGAGATTTTAGTAATCAGATATCATTTTATTTCTTCACTAATTTCAATTTATATGTAAATTACAATGATATTCTTTACTATGAATTGCATAACACTATCATTCAAATATGTTCAATATCATAAGTATATGTTTTTTGACTTTTAAAAAGGAAATTTTGTACACAGTACTCTATAGTTTAATCACATTACATTACACACATATATGTAATTTGTAAATGAAATAAAGACTCCTAGAACAACCACTTTTTTGAATAAACCAATATTGAAATAAATGTTTCATCATTTTTATCATCATAGGAATATATAAGATAATGTAAGAAAGATGAACAAAATTACTGAAAAAAAAATTACTTCAAAGTTTTTCTAATGTCAATGCTATTGCTTAAAATCATTAAGATTTTATGTGAACTATTTAAGATTGTATTTTTGTTTCGGTAATCAAATCACAATCATTTAAACTGTTAGCTTGACATATTATTCAATTTGAAAATTAAGCTGTATATTTTTAGTTACACTGAAAATTTATTGCAAGTTTGAATTTTGAAATAAATTTCTATGATTTTAGTTGAATATTAATTATACTATTAAAAGATTAAAAATCATAAGATAAAAATATATCAATCTTGAAATACAAATAAAAACTCTATGGAATGTTAAAGTCTACTAAAAAATATCAATTTATTTTTAATTTTAGTATTATTTATTTGCATCATATCTTCATCTAATTATTATTTCTTTAAATATTAAATTTTTTATTGAGTTTTAAAGATCATGAACTTGAATACGAATTATTATGAAATATGAAGAGTAATTTTATTCTCAAATGATTACATTATCAACTTCACTAGCTTTATTCATATTTGATAGATTTAAACTTATGATTTGAATTCATTATATTAATTGATTTTTTATATTTATGTTTGAATTTTATTTTTGAATTTTTCAAGTTCTTTAATCAGATTACTATTGTATTAAATATACGAAAATTCAAAGTTGAATATTTTTATTTTCGCTAGGAGATAAATTTTTGTAAATTTTTTTAATTTGTTTGAAGTTTTGACAAATTTCATAGCTTAAATCTTTAAATTCAATAAATTAATGAAACCTATACAAGATAAAAAAAATAAAAAAATTCTCTAGGAATTTTTGGACTCTAAGATAAAATTTTAAATTATATAAATGACAATAGATTTCTTGTAAATAGATTATTATAATGTATCAAAATTTAACGATAAAATTAAAGTCTATGCACATGTATTAGTAGATTGAGATAAAGATATGAAACTTTTCAATCATCAGATTCCACCATCATAAATCTTAAAGTAGACACTTGTTTTTGAATTTTGACTAAATTGAAATAATTTGGTTTCAAAATATTATTGAAATTTGGTATGTATAATTAACATTTGAAAGATACAATTACAGATTTAGTTTGATTATTATGACACTTGTTACAAAAGTTTTATACATAAGATTATTTTTCAAGTGAAGTTTGACATTGATATCACTGTCAATTTTAAAAGTATCATAGGATTTGATAAGCAATAACGTGCACATTTATCTGTCATACATTCAATGATTGGCAAATTATTAGAAATAATCTGGAAATAAAAATTGTGTAAATAAATTTTCAATAAATCATTCAATATGGTTAAGTCAGCAGTCTATAGAAACTAATACCACAACAAATATTTCACATGAGTGGATGATTGTTTAAAATTCAAAGTCCAATAATATATGATACCATTAGAAATGAGAGCTCTGATATACAGTGTAAAATGTACAATATGTGCAAGATGAAAATGTTATGTTGTATGCTGCTATTAAATAGACAAGTAGTGTATAAGTAGTTATTTTATGTTTTCAAACATAATACTGTAATAACCATCATCCATTTTTTCAGATAAAACTAATTATGAGTATAAAATAGATATAAAATATTTTTTCTCACATATAAACCTCATATATAAACATATGCGAGGTCATATATACCTTTAGATCCGAGCACAGGTGAACACGCTCTCTACCCTGCACTCACGGTATCGAGAATTGTCTGCCACCCAGGAAAATGCAGTTGGATGGAATGATGACACACATGAAGTCTTCCATGATGGAAGACTTCATTCTTTCATTCCTGATCACTCCACCTCGCAACGAGGTCGTGATATCAATTCGCACGGCTCGCGTATTTGACAAGAACGAAATCAGTAATTTAAAGCTTCGAATGTTAAGGTTCGAACATTAGAGTATCGGTTCTGTCAAATTTCGTCGACGCGCACATTCATGCCGCCCAGGCTCGACAGTTCCTCCGGGCTTGCAGGATTGTACACGACCAATTCCAGAGCGCCTGCCGTAAATTGACAGAAGGATCTTTGGAGTTCATCACTTGCATCACAGGTGGCTGTTCAGAGAGCTAGCTGCGTGAAGTTTGGAATTGCTTCCAGTGTTTCGACAGGTTTTGATGTGCACAGCGCAGTGTTCTACCGCTCCGCAGGTGCTCAGTGGAGGCTGGCATTTTGCTAGAGCGAGCTCTTCGCAAGCTCTCTGAGTCCTGTATCTCAGCCATGTGGAGTGGTTGATTATCCTTGCCCGACTCACTACCAGGTCGTAGGTCACGGCATTGCCGTGGTGGATGCCTCTGGTTTTGGTTGACGTTAAAACCCCGTCCAACAGCTCGTGAGAGAAGCAACCTTAGAAGGAAACAAAGTTTGGGAAAAAGATAGGCAGGAGATGGCTCGACCTCGACCCAGAACTGCTTCTTACAATAGTCGATCAGATTTTGCGAATTCGCCATCGTTAGGGATAACTCCCTTGAGACCGTCCCCTGCACCGGCAACAATAATTCAGAACCTGGCCGGTAATTACGTAATATCAGAGCCTTTCCTTCTCGGTTTGCCACCGCGTCTTTCTCTGTGCGGTGACTTGCCCCGATCATGAAAGATCGGGGCAAGTCACCGCACAGAGAAATCTGCACCGTGATTGGGGTTTAGTGCCACCCAAGGAAATGTGACAATGAATTATTGCAACTCTTTAGTATACACACGCGTCACCGGACGCAAATGTTTAGTAATCTTGAGTCCCATGCTATCAACTTACTTATCCAATTGACGTTTAGGTCGGCATATGTCTTTTCAATGAACTAAAGACCTAGTGAATCCAGTAGGTCTGGGGCCATGATCTCCGATCTCCGATCAAAGAGCTACAAAGTTTTTACGATGAGTCTTGAACTGATTTGAAATGTTTGAAACGAAGGATGTTTCTGAATGCTATCACACTCGTGAGTTTTGTGGCCGAGAACCGAGTATGTTGATGCAGTACATTCTCATCAAGTTCTGTGATAAAGTATATGCTCCTAACTAGTTTTGCCGGTCATGGGAGCAGCGTCGTTGATCGGCTACCTACAGGAGGATGTACGGTGCGCCTGTCATATACAGAAAAATCTATATACTGGTGATAGTCAAGGCAAAATTCTCAAATGGACTCCTGTGGTTGGTAGCTTGACCTTACTCCCATACTATACGACGCCCAACTGAAAATTAGTTGACCAGCTATGAATTCCTGCTTGTAGGGAATTCTTCTACACATGGAAAATCAACTCTAGCTACCTGTCAAGTTCAGGCCTTCTATGTTAAGTTTGTATTTCTTGCATCGTCATCTATCTCGACTGTTTCTACTGGCTTATTCTCGAGAAAATTTTTTGCCGTTGAAACCTGGTTAGTGCGCGCCCAAAACATTTTATCAAGGAAATAATGTTTGTCAGTAAACAGTTGCGAATTAACGTTCTCGATACTCAAGCATCTCGCTGTAAATGTTCCCTCGTCAGTTGAGTCTCCGATTTTTTTGAAAGCTGCAACATGACACTTTCCTGACGTTGCTTTTCGCAGGATGCAAGCAGGGTTACATTCATGGACGGTCTTGGAGCACCAGTGAATGTGGTTGTGAGTGTTAATGAAAACAAGGATATCTGGGCAGGACTTGCAAATGGCAATATCACCATCCTCAGCTTGGAGACACAAAGCATAAAGAACCAATTAATTCATGCCCATGATGCGGCTGTGAACTGCATTGTTGCTGGAATCCAGTGTGCCTGGTCTGGTGATCACAATGTACTTGCCTGCATAATCTACATACTTTCAGTGCACTACAAGTGAGGAGTGCCCCATTAGTTCTGAGATTTAGCTTTTCCGCAAAACTCTGACGGGGTATACACTATTAAAGATCGAGGAGTACTGCCTGCCAAGTGAACAGTGGCGTAATGTTGTGCGCACCTGGCTAACAGTCAGAAAGTTCTTGCCCAATAGATATACCTTGCTTGATCCTGATCACAGAGTGGGAAAGGGTTTTAGATCACTTCTAGATATGAATGCCTGGCATTGCACCAATAATCACATATGCCGACCTCGAATTTTATTGAAGACTTGGATCAGAGGTCTTGTTATGGGCCAAACTGTCGGAAGCATTTGAGCTGCGATATCACATTGAAATCTGTCTGGTGTTATCGTAAATGTACATCACAGGCGGGGATGATTTTTTGATCAAGAAATGGAACTTGGAGGGTGTTGAACTTTTCGCTTACAATCATCATCATGGTTTCATCAAGGACCTGCTCATTTTACGCAAAGATCCTCTCGAAGTAAAGCTCTGGGGAGCCTCTAGTGATACGAGCATATCTCTGACTGCTCTACAGGACAACAGTGTACAGCATTCTTTGCTGTCTGATGTGAAGATGCTCAATGGTATGCTTCTCATCTGACAGTCTAGAACAGTTAGGGTTCTCGTGCGTCTATCCACTCTGTTGAACCATAACCCTTCAGCACATGGTCAAGGTAGATCTCCTTCATTCGAGGGTCGTGTTTCTGTCGGAGTTTCAAAATAAAACTAGGAGTTGCTCGACAACTTTACAAACAGCAACACGCAATTACTTTTGTTTCTTTTTGCTTTCAGCGATGAAGTCTTGTGACTGGCATCAATACATGTACAAACTGTGGATGCAAATAGAAGCATAGGTTCTAAAGGTCACCTGTTTGGTTTGCAGGTCACTCCAAGGGAGTCCTGGCTCTCTGTCTGGTAGGTCCGGATGCAATATGGAGCGGGTGTGAAGATGGCTCGATATATGTGTGGAGTTCCTTGGGAGTGCTGAAAAAACAGGTGCAAGCGCACAAAGGACCGGTTGGGAGCTTTGTAGTCATGGGCGCCCACGTCTGGAGTGGCTCAGGAGACCACACGGTTCTTGTCTGGGAGGCCTCCTCCTGCCAGCTACTGTTCTCACTCGGCGACCATGGCGGGTGCGTCTCCATTGTGAGGCAATTTTGAGTGCATTTCGTTGCTTCTGCATTTGGACAGCATCACGCTTGAGATCACTTTTCGCAGGAGGAATGCCCTTTTTAGATCTTCTAATGCTCGCGTGTTGTATCCCGCAGTTTCGTCAAGGCTATGGTCCGGGTGGAGTACATGTGCTGGGTCTTTGCTTCAGGGAGGAATATAAGGATATGGTGCGCACAAAGTGTTTGGGACACCTATGAACAAGAAAAGGATCGTCTATCGAAAATGATGGAGAGACTCAAGGAGTCGTTGGAAAAAGCCGATCGAGAAAAGCGAGCCCTTGAGGGTGCATACAAGAATTCAAACCAGGAACTACAACAAGCCCAGAAGCAGTTGAACGATGAACGAAGCAGTGGAGCATCTGCTGTCGACAACAAAAATGCTGAGTTAGAGAAGCTGAAAAGTGAACTTGAACGGACGGGTAAAGAACTTGAAGCAGCCAAAGACAACGCCGTGAGGAACGCAGGCAATCTGGACGAAGAGATCAAACTTATGCAGGAGAAGCTCAGTAAACTCAAGGCAGAGAAAGAATCCGGGGAGAAGGAAGCGAGATCCAAGATTCAAGGCTTGGAGAAAGATTTGGAACAAGCAAATGAGATGCAAACCAATGCTCTACGCGATGTAGCAGCTCTCAATTCAAAAGTGAAGAAAGTTGAAGATGACCTAGCAACTGCGCAGGGAGACCTGGAGAAGGCCCGTAAAAAGGAGATGGATCTGCTTTCGGAACAGAGCCTGGACAACCAAAAAGCTTCCGACTTAGAAAATTCTCTGAAAGCCGGAAATGACAGAATACAAGCATTAGAAAGTCAGTTGAGTCAGTTCATGAAAGACAAGGAGGAGGCTGAAAGAGCAAGAGTTAGTTCACAAGCGGGCCACGTAGAAGAACTCGCAGATTTGGAGCGGAAAATAAAGCAGCTGCAAGATGATTTAGACAAAGCTCACGAAAATGCAAACACTAATCTTACAGCCAAGGATGCTGAAATACAAAAACTGCAAACTGACCTGAAAAAGAAGGGGAAAGATTTGAAGAAGGCGCTAAAAGATGCCGGAGACGAGAAAAAAAAGAGTGCACGGGAGTTGGAGGAACTCAAACAAACTATTGAGCAGATGAGGAAGCACCAAGAAGATTCTTCCTCCGCTGAGGCATCCACAAATGAAAAGCTAGCGAGCCTTGCATTAGAGCTCCAGGCCGCTCGTGATGAACTTCAAAAGGCTCTGAGTGAGAGAGATCAGAGCCTAGGACAACGAGACTCGGAAATGCAAAAGATGGGTGAGGACCATGCAAAACGTATCAACGATTTTGAACAAGGCTTAAAGGATCTACAAATTGAGAATGACAAACTCAGGGACTTGGCCAAGGAGAGTGAAAAGAGTGCGGGGGCTAGTCAAGAGGCTTTAAAAGACGAGCTCAACAAAACAAGAGCTCTTTTAGATGAGGCCTTGAAAGACCGGGATGAAGCAGTGAAGAATGCTACTGGACTGACAGAGAATCTCCAACAACTGGAAAAAAGCATTGCGCAGCTTAAGGACGCGGCGACTGCAACTGACGCATCGTCAGCGGCATTATGCAAGGAGAAAGATGATCTGCAAAAGAGTTTGAACGATGCAGCTTCGGAGATACAGAAACTCAAAGACGAGCTATCAAAGCTATCTCAATCTGAAGCTAGTCAAGCTTCTGCTCTAGAAGAAATGAAAAAGGCTGGCGAAAAAGCGCTGAACGATATTCGAGATGCAGAGCAGAAGCGGGCAAGCTCGGAGAAAAGTCTCGAAGATGAACATATGGCAAACTCAGAACAAGTGGCAAAGCTTTCGAATGCTCTCAACAGTTTACAAGAGGAGAAAGCCAAGCTGGAAAGATTGCTGAATAATGCTTCTGCTGAGATTGAAAAACTGAAAGAGGGAAAAGCATCCGAGGAAGATGGCACTGCGCATTTAAACCAGGAACTAAATGAGCTAAAGAAAGACAAAGCAAAACTAGAAGACAAACTGGGACAAAAAGCAGCTGAGATCGAAAAACTAATTCAGGAACTGAATCAGTTGAAGGATGACAGTGCAATGCAGGAGAAAAAACGGATCAACTTGAACCAGGATGTCAAGGAGCTTGAAGCTGAAAAGGGTCTGCTTGAAAGAAAGCTTTCTACTGCATTACGTGAGGTCGAAGATCTCAAAAAGGTATTTCAAAATCGCAACTACCGGCAGGTAGATCACCAGATCTACCTGCCGGTATTTCGATTACAACAATTGAACAGAGGAATCTGTTGGAGCTGAGCTATAAATCTAGCATCCAAATTGGATGTGTATAACTTCTAACGAAATGGTGAAACTTGCCCAACTTCCTGTCGCAGATGGAGGTTGAGATGGAAAGACTTCGTTCCGAGAATAGACAGAAGCAAGACGAACACAGGTCTTTCGCCGCTTCTTTGCCGGAATTACATACGATCTTAGATGAAGTTACTTGAAATCGTGGACTGTAAAGTTTCCTTGCATCCAATTAGAGTAGGCTTCCAATGTCCAAAATAAGGTCCTTCTCAAATTTGCAGGTTCTCGAAGGAAAGTGCTATGGCCGCAGCTGCAGATGCTGCGCGCAGAATAGAAGATTTGCAGAGTAAGATACTGAGGTTGGAGATGAAATTGGAGGATGCAATCACCAGATCACAAGCTATGGCCTCTGCTGATGACCCTGTTTGGGCACGAATACGGGAGCTGGAGACTGCCCTAATGCAGGCCCATATGGATTATCGCCTACTGAATCAAGGTCAAGGCGTCAGATTCAGTCATATATTACCTTCATGAAGAATGATTTATAAAGAATGAATATACTCTTTTCATATTGGGTGCTGATTATTGTTCCTTGCACTTTAGAAGACCCTTTCTTTCGTGTTTATCAACGAACTCTCAAGGTACATCGTTCATTACAATCGTTCTCAATTTAAGAAAAAAACACGTTATCAAAATTCAATCTCCAGCGTGTACATGACCTTAACAGAAGTCAGGCATATGCGTGAGAGGAGAGGACGGCAAAGGAATTATCAGGCTGCTACAGCTGGAGTGCGAGCTCCTGGCCATGGAGATGGACTGGATATGGCATTGAAACTGATGCAGCCAGGATTTTGCATCGACTACACCAACATGAAAGTATCCACCGTTGACAATAACGCGAGAGAAGGGAACCAGCGGAGGATTGTGAAAACTGTTGAGGTACAGATTGTTAGTAACAAGATCATTATGCACTTACAATGACACAAGCTGTCACCTACTTCTACATTAACTGCAGAATACGTCTGATCCTGCATTCTCGACAAGTTCCATGATGCTTTCAGGATAAAAAGGTCTAGAAATTATACTTCAAACCAAATTTTGGTAGGGCCCTGAATTTTGAGTTTCTGGGGTCCACGGATTTTTTTAGTATTGTTTATATTTCGTCAATTATACAGTATTTTAGCTATAATTTTGCAGCATATTATGTTATCCATGAAAGCAAAATACAAATGTTCAGATTTTTCATCTCGGTTCAAACGTCGCCAGCCTCGGAAACAAATGCCACATGTTTACAGAGACATGATAGAAATGTACCACTTCGAGGATGGGTGCAGCATTCTCCGTTTGAAACTCTAAATAAGCCACAGAAATCACGAATCAGCTTCTCGATGTTCAGGTGCATGCGCAGACTTCAATTCCAGGAACTCCTCAAAGAATCATACCTATTCGTGCCCCAATACCACATCCGGAGACTCCTCAGAGAATCATATCAGTTCGTGTTCCTTCACCAGGTCCAGAAATGATTGAACCAGTGATAACTCCAAGACCTCATTCGAAGGAAAAAGAAAGATTCTTTCCAAGCCATGGACCTATGAGAGTTCGAAGAGGTCTCAGTCCGTAGGTATGATGCATACTTCGCTTCTTTGAGATCTCTATTTGAGATCTACTTCTTTTTCTGATCTCTATTTTCCATTTGTTGGGTGCATATAGGACTCTCATAATCTGTAATCACGTTCTGTCCTTGGATTATGACTTTGTTAGTTGTATGGATTCCCGTCCTAGGAGTTCTAGCTGAAGTAAACAGGACTGCAGTCAGCTTCCTGCAGATACAGCAGTGGTGGAGGAAATCGGCAGAGTCACCTCGGAAAGGATCGTGAGCAGAATTCTTGATGCGGATGGACATCGTCCACTTTTTGTGCAGACGGATCCGAAGAACATCCCAAGAACGGTAGTCGGAACTCGTCGGCAGTTCATATTCAGAATGCGATTAAAAATGTCCGAGTGAAAATCCAAAGTTGCCTTTAGGCCGAGATGAAGGTGTTGTCTTTTTTAAAACCATGTGCAGTCACACTATATGCAACGCTAATAACCAATTTGGCTAAGATGTGAACCTGCAAGTGTTAGGAAGTACTTTTTCCAACATCAATCTTCATGTAAATCTTATGAATACAAGCTTGAATGAATTGCTTTATACTCCAGAACACATTGGTGACAAAAGGTCACCGAAAGAGCCAGAGCACGTCATTAGAAAGATAATAGCAAGTCTTGTTCATCATACTGATAGAGAGGAGTCTAGGCAGAAGAGTAATGCTTTCAAGAAAGTACTGTTTCCATCAACTCTACCAAAGAAGAAAAAAAGGTATTATTGAAGTGACACTTGTAAGGTGCCACCCTAAATAAAAGGTGCCAATACCTCAAGGTAAAGACAAAAACCGCAGAAGAGTGGAGCATTGTAACCACTTACATCGGACTTCGACTACATATCATTGGATGTTACAAAAACTTAAAACACTATATATTTCAAAATGGTGACCATTTTAGGAAGGTCAGATAGAGATGGTTAGTCCATGCACCGGGTAGACTAGCAACACAATGATAAGTTGTAAGAGCTATGCCACCTAAAGGAAATAAATACGAGGTTGGATTTCTAGAAGAATTATGCGGAGTAAGTAGAGTTCAATGCGAAGAGAGCATAATAACATATTCTTTTGGACAAAGGAGTCCGAAGTGCATTTTGTGGCAGTTGAGAAGAGAAAGCTTTGCACCGAGCTGCTCCCTAACATGAAACGTCTTCATGAAGTGGAGGTCCAGCCGCAGCACCAATCTATTCCTTTCCAATTACAATGTTCAGAATAATTGTCTATATGACGAGGACGATTTTTTGAATACATTAGAGAAAATTATGGAGGCTATGGAGATTTTAGTGGAGTCTACGGAACAAGAGGTGTATATGGCTTTGGGTTGTGATGGTATGAAGTGACACAATTATTAAGTCTAGGACTTCAGTGGTGGCCGCCTTGCAAGAACTGGACATTCAATTCGTTTGCAAAATGACACTAGTCACAATTGAAGTTGCATGTTGAAACATGCAAATCATATTTCTAATGCATGTTTAATAACTTTTTAGTTAGACAAATAAGTCTAAAAGAAGAATTGATGTTAAGATTTCAATTTTTGAGGTTGGTATACTATACTTCATGTAGCTAAAAAGTTGAAGACAACATATAAACTCACATATTGATAAGGATTATATCTTACTGAAATCTGAAACATGATGTGAACCAAAGGACCTCTTGAAATCTAAACATGTTCTATACGACAGATAACAAACATAATAGAATGTTCAATATAAATGTTCTTACAAACTTGTTTACAACAATCAGTTTGAAGTGAAGGCTATTACCTAGTAGTATAAATATGAGTATAGGAAAAAAGCTTTTTCAACATGAACATGTTAGTCATTGCTTATGAAATATAGTCAAAATGATTTTCTATATACTTGCAAAGAGCAACCATTTTGAAGAAGCTTTGATATTGATTTTTATTCACTTGCACCTATACACACTAATCTAAACAGTAGAATGTTTTATTAAACTTCAAACAGGTAGAAATTTTTGTCAAAATCCAATAGAAAGCAATTGTTTATTTCTCTATGGCTGAAGAAGGTGGAGTAAATATATCATTATCTACATATGAAGAGTGAATTTCGATGGGTACAACAATAAACTTAAATTACTGAAAGAAGAAAAAGATCTAAAAGTCTGCTATTATTTTTCACCAAAAAAATAATAATTATCTAAATATATAATTTTTGTTTCTTAATGCGAATTTTTTTTTGGAAATCACAGCCGAATCACCTAGATTGTTCAAAAATTATTTTCTGTTCTATTTGTACAGCTTGAAAAAATTGAGTTTAAATGTAATGCTGATACATTACAAATTATGATAATAACTATCCTGTAAGTATAAATAACAGAGATGGAAGTTATCAACTGTGATGATGCAAATTCAGGTTTCCCTTTGATTATTTATAACAATATTAAATCTCAATTGTTAGAAGCTCATTTTGAAGATTGAGCTTCTAACAAGAGATTGTATCCATCTAATTTTAGTAGTAGCTATTAATTGACTTGAAGGTAGATATCTAAAAGTGACACCATTATATTCTTTGTACATCAATAAAAACATTTTGAAATAAAGAAAGTGTACTTGACACGAATTAAAAGTCAGAAGAACACCTGGGTTCCAGATCAAGAATCAAAATCATTCGTCTTGACTTGCACCATCCACAACTCTCTGCAAACTTGAAATGCGAACCAAATAGACCGCATTATTGTTCTAATGGGTTGGCTTAGACTCCTCACAGCTGCGAAGTGGCTGGTTAAAATGCGCTCAATTTTTTCTATATTGTTGAGCATGCATAGCCAGGTACTTGCTTTGAAGTCCACATGGTGTTCCCATGTTGCAGTCTTCTCGCAACTTTATTTGTGACTCATATGTAAGCATCCAGACGAATGTAAACATCAGTTCGAGAAAAATCTCAAGCACAGAGTTTCAGGGGGTTGGAAACTCCAATTACATGGTGTCGAGTTTCAATTCGAATCAAAAGATTCATACATTATGATGCGCGTTGACAGGTCTGTGTGTGCGTTTGCAGAGGTGACCATTCAAGTCATAGCGACAGAAAGAGAAATAGAACATCAAATTTGGAACGATTATCTGTTCAAAAGGACTTTCATTAAGTTGCAACTTGTCGTTGTTGCAATCAAGTTCCCGGAAGCTCGATTTGAGAGTTTGTGACCCAGCAGAAGCATGTCATGGCAATGTCTCGAGTTAATACTTCGATCCCGTACTTAAGCATATCACGACAGATGTGTTGTGCAACGGCACGGCAAGAATGGTGAAGAATGTGAGTTGCCTTGTTCGAATTTGTGTTATTTATCCGCTGACTTCGACTCGTCTGCTGAACAAGGAGTGCATGACAACGTATACTCTGGCTGAATCCAGACACAGATCTTGTCCGCCTATCGATTATGGACCCATGAGATACTCAACAGCCGAATGCATTTCAGATGACTTCTCTTTGGAAGTACAACCATCTAGTTCCATTACGCATCAGTTCAAAACATTTGAAATGTCATCTCTGTTATAACCACGACCAATACTTCCAGTGAACCGTATTCGACCAGTTCATGTCAAGCTCGCCATCGAACACAAAAGATATCTGTTTACATCTGTTTAACTGGTACTTGCCTCAACGTATCATTCCTGGAGCGAGAATTGGACTCCAACCATTGAAAACGTTCTGAAACGAGCTGTTACGATTCTTTTTCAGAAGGAATTTTGATTTTCAATTTGTTTTGCAGTTTAGACAAGGAGAGTTTGGTGTGAAGCCTCGGGCTACAGCTATAAAGAGGCAGGCTTGTGATGAATCAGTATCTTTTCAAAGATACAGCATTCATTTGCAAGTTCTATCGTTGTAGAAAGCTCGCTTTTTTATACATTGTGAAATTAGATTAGAAATTGAAATAGCAACCCTAAACAAACACTGTTGAACAGTCGTGAGTCCTCCGCCAAGTGAGAACAATGGGGTCGAGTAATAGTTCTTTATCATCATGGCTGTCACTAGCACTAGCTCTAATGGCTTTAATTGCCAATCTGGCTGCTGTGACCCAAGGCGTGGAGATACCAACCATATGACCCATGATCTCAATTGGTGGGTATCTATGCAAAGCATGTGTGCGATATATCCACTGTGAAGAGGGTAGTCAGATTTGCCAATCTTGGCGGCAGCAGGATCAACAAAAGCGAAAATGTTACAGCAGAGATTATCAGTCGTAGGAATCGAGATCAGCAAATCAAGAGTGACTCTGTTCCTATCTGTAGCTTCTTATAGCAAACGTGCTTTGCTTCCTCACAGCACGTTACATCAGTTACAAGCAAGAACCCAGCAAGAACTTTCTACTCGAATCAGTTGTAGTATTTGTAATTCACAAACTACTATTACTCTAATCTTGGCCTCTCTGCTCGAACCAGTTGTAGTATATGTAACCGAAAAACTAACATTTCACTAAATCTTGGACTTTTTGCTCATACCAGTTGTAGTATTTGTAACCTACAAACTAATATTCCACTAAATCTTGGCCTACAGTTTTTTAAGAAGATTCAAAATTGTTGTATGTTAGATAATTAATAGCGCTTTTGGACAAACTGTCCACTTTGATTAGTAAAGAGGGCAAAAGGTAGCTATGAGCAAATATGGTGGTAGCGTATGTCTCCACTGTGTTCTCAAGCTTATCCTAGTTTCTTTCTAAATTTTCATTTATAGTTGACATTCTTTAAGAGTTTAAGTCTTCTCTTCAGCATTTCTAAAAACTCGTGACCAAGGATTCTTTGCTCTAGAGCTTGTAAGTCACCAATCCTGATAGTTCATAAGGCAATACACCAGTGAATGAGTTGGAAGAGTTGGAAGAGAGATGAAGCATTTGCAATGAGGGGAGATTTCAGATGGAAGAAGGTATAGAGCCGTTGAAGTAATTAGACGCCAGAATCAACACTCACAATGATGCCGAGTGATGCATCTGTGGATTCAGTACATCTAACTTAGGCAGCACCCCGGCGAAGTGGTTATTACTCAAATACAAAAACTGCAGATTAGAGCAGTTCCATAATGTCACGGGAAAGAGTCCGCTGAGTTGATTCTCGGTGACGGACAGCAGGGAAAGAGATTCCAGTATTGCGAAATTTATGTGCGTCAGCTGACCTGTCATAGAATTGTTACTCAGTCTGATTGAACTCAGGGCGCTGCAGTTGTAACGGTTACTGGAATGCTTCCAGCGAGTTTGTTGTTATGGAGGGCGAGGTATTGCAAAGTCTGCAGCTTCCACAAATCCCGTGGAATCTCACCTCTCAGATTGTTCGTATGCAGATACAACTTGACAATATCTGTGAGGTTGCCAAACTGCTGTGGTATGGAGCCCCTAAGCTTGTTAACTCCCAAGTGAATATATTTGACATCTTGCAGGTTACCCAAGCTAGCGGGAATCTTTCACGTGAGGTCATTGTCATTCAACGCCAACGAGGACAACGTTTTCAGGTCTCCAAATTCCTCAGGAATGCCTTGATGGAACTTGTTTCCAGGTAAACTTATATCCTCGAGTTGGGTCAGATTATCTAAGGCTCTGGGGATCTTTCCAATCAGAGCATTGTTGCTGAGGTCCAGAATCTTCATTCTCGGCCACCACCTCACCATCTCCTCCGTCAGAAGTCCCGTGAATTTATTAAAGGTTGGGTGGTGATAAAAATACCAACTTCCCAGCTTCAGATATTCCAAAAGTGTTGAGTTCCTCAGCGCATCCAAAGGACCAGTGAACTTGTTGTTGTTGAGTTACAGCTCCAAGATCAAGTGAACTTGTTGTTGTTTAGTTACAGCTCCAAGATCAAGCTGATGTTTGTCAAAGATTCAGGGAGCTCTCTTCCGAACATATTGTACTCGATAAAGATGATCTTC